GTATTCGTTTCTTCATGCTTTTACCCGTTTCACTAGACGGAGTTCTAACAACATGTCTTTTTTTCTAATTAGTGAAACGCTGCACGTCCAAACACTCTTTCTTGGTGACTTTAAGAAAAGGACAAAATAATAAAACATTTGTTCCTCTAAGCGAATGAATATAATCCAATATTACGATGTTGGCGTGAGTTATCTTCTATGGCTAACGAAGACAGAGCCATTTTTCTGTCCACTGTGACATGCATTGATCTAGGATTCATGGAGCTGGCAGCTAAATCCAAACAGTGTAATTAGAAAAGGAAATTACAGTGCATGCCTACATGTGATTATGTGGAAGCCTGATCGCTGCCATCATTCTGTTTAACATTGTACTAATAGGATTCCCCAGCTAATCATGTTGGTTCTCGAAAGTAAATGCTTTATAGGAAGTTGTTTGTTATGCAGAAGCTGTTATGGAGCAATATTAAGCAGAGTTACCGGAGTCAACAGACGGATATCAGTGCTTGCTCCGCATTCAAGCAGTAACTGTACAGTGTCGGCATCTGCAGCTCTGACTGCAAAGAACAGAGGATGCGTAGGGACGGAGCATGTATCCGGGTCAGCACCTCGCAGGAGAAGCAGGTTGATGGTAGATCTTAGGTTTGTATCCCTGGATCAGAGAATAACATTGTTAGGCCTCCCTTGAGAAAAATAGTACATGTACCTAAAAACTATGTGATAAATGTACCTAACCTGGTTTCATAGTGTCTGTGTTTCCTAATAGCAACTACAGTCAAACCTTCATTGAATCGCTATACTGTATGTTCTTATTCTGTGCATTTTGAGTAATAAGGGTAATAAGGTCCCTTGAGACACAATAATGCCCATCTACTTTCATGTGACCACAAAATAAAGCAATATTGACCATTATGTGTATGCCTGATCCTTCAGTAGTCTAGATGTGTGATAACTGTGTACAACCAATGAATTTACTATGTGTGGTCAGCATAAAGGTTTGAGGGTGTGTCACACATACAAAAAGTGGTCTGGCAGTTGACAGCCATACTTGCAAGGATCAGAGGTGAAATCCAATTCTTCCGGTCCAGGGCCATTCTGACTAGGAGGTATATCAAGACATGTCTCCGAACTTGTGGGACATTTGTCATAGTGCTTCACATCCTTCTCATGGCCAGCACTGCCTTCTCTTTCACTGATACCCGACGTGAAGTCACTTGATTCTTCCTATACTTGAACATAATATATTAGCTTGCTTTTATTGTTAGTTAATTAGTTTACACAACAGCTTTTACTTAAAGGTTCAGTCCACCCAAAAGTGCCGTTTCAGTAACTTGCGGAATGTAGTAAGCAGAATCAGCCCATGGCCTCCTATATGTCTTAATACTCCAATATTGAGATTTGTCCACCATAATTTCTGTCTCTATTCCTCAAAGTTTTAGGTGTTCCACCCACCTTTGCATAGCCCCACAAATCCTCTTACATTCCCCATAATAGCAAAGTGAGTATCAGAGTTTTCAGGCGATGGGACCATCAGTGGTTACCCAATGGCCACAGACTAAGAACACAGAACTCCAGAAGAAAAGGTGGAGAAGATGATGATGACGACAGTGGTGACTTAAAAGAGAACTGTGGATTAACCATTTTTTCATAGTTCTGTTAAGGGTCACAGGAGGACATATACTATTGTCCTCCTGTGACCCAAAACTCAGCATATAGCGGACTATTGCCCACTATATGCGGACAGCGCAAAGCCGCGCAAAGCCGGGACGCATCTGAACAGTATTGTTAGGATCCACCTCTCTGCCTGACAGCTACTGTAGCTCTGCCTCTCTAGAGGCAAAGCCATCTGTGCCCCCCTTCTCCCCCATCCATACCTCCAGTTAGCACTGGAGGAATAGAGAGAGGGGAGGGGGGAATCCCTGCGGGGAGCGGTGACTGACAGTCACTGCTCTCTGCAGGGAGAAGATCGGGAACTCAGCGATCAGCGGTATGTGATCACTCGGTACCTGATCAATAGAGCCAACGTGTGACAGCTGCAGTGTCACACATAGGCTCTAAATTTGGGGATGAGTGTTTTTCACTCTCCCCATAATTCTTCTTTAAAAACAATAGCAAGAATGGACCTGCCAGTGCTGGAGTAGAACAGACTGGTATGTAAGTCTGCCATAATGTACAAGTATGATGTATATATTTGCACATTATGGCAAGAGATCCCTACAGGCAGTAAAGTTCCACTTTGACATTTGTGAAATCCTGTTTACTGATCCCTCTGCAGCTATGCCCCAGGGCTGATAGTCACACAGATCACAAGCTACGGTATGAATGGTGTGTGGGTAAAAATGATACCAACCTTGATCAGAGGGAGGTTCCGCTCTGCCACATTTGGCCAGAATGGTTTGGAGCTGTAAAGCATCAGGCACAAGGACAAAGCTGATAATCCTTCATCATTGCTCTTATTAATATCCGCTCCATTGTCAAGCAGAAGGTTAATGACGTTATTATGGCCATTTACCTGAAACGGAATTTGTTATTATAATATATCACAGTATGTCACCATATATTACTTGTCAGAAATGAGTTATAGCCCCTCTGCGTGAACAAAAGGGAGGTTTATCATATGAATCTATATGTACAACGCTTCCATTACTTCCATGATAGATGTCGAGAAAACCTTATGCAGCGCTGCACCATTATGACAAAAGAAGATTGATCTTCAGGCGAACTTGTCATAATGGAAATAAGGGTGCTGCGATTACCTAATTCTTGTAGAAGGTGCTATTTCCCTGCCTGTCAACCTCATCCTCTGCTTTCTCTACTTAGTGGCCTATGTCTAATATAGAGCAGATACCATTACCTCTCTGTGTCTGCATTTTTCAATTCATTCACAGAATGCAGAGCCTGGTGTGAATGCTGTGGAGTCCTTCAGAGTATTTCCTACATAATGCAACAAAGAACACTCTGATAGGAGGAGAACCCAATCACGGGGCCTCTCAAAGCTATACGATTTCCTCCTTCTCCTGGTACTTTTTTCCCATTCTAAAATAAATGGGACAGTAAAGGAAGAATCCAGCCACACTCTGCCCCACGCTGTATCAGCCCACTGACACCCCATTAGTGACACTGAGTCCTGCCTGAGGCCCACCCCCTCTGAAACGTTCCACCCAATATCGGTCTTAAGTCATAAAGATAATTTATTATTGTATTTCAATTGTATAATTTATTACTGTATTTTCACCCAAGTGAACCGGGCAGCCAAACTCAGAAGGAAATCCACAAACTTTGAACATAGAGCCTGAACCCAAGGTGTTAGGGAGCCAAATCTTTCTCTGGTGGTGTTCAAGGTCAATTTCCAAGCTTTTGTTTAAAAAGGCACGAGTAGCACGGCATTACAATAGGAATTATGTACCAATGCAAA